GGTCCAGGGGGGCCCGTGGGGTCCGCCTGGCTGCGCGCCCGGCGGGCACGGAAGGAGCTGCCACCCCCGTGGGCGTAAAGGAGGACTGTGCCCCCTCTTCCCCGAGGGCGGGGAGGGGTTTCCTCCAGGCTGCGCCTGCCGTGGGCCTGCGGTTTCTCGTGGGATGCACAGCATCCCCAGTGGGTGATGGGGTCCATGTTGCACCCCCGGTGGGCAGGCGATGGGGTTCCCAAGGGGACCAGGCCTGCATCCCAGAAAGGGCCCTCTGGGGCCTGTGCTTGGTTCCCTCTTAAACCTTAGGATGTGGGGTGAAACCTGAGCTGGGACTTGCCAGCTGTGGGGCAGTTTCTCTCCCTTGTGCTCAGGCTGGGTTCCAGGGGTTGGGTGGGTCCCCATCTTCATGTCTTAGTGCCCTCAGCTAGGGCAATGTGAGAGGCATCCAGGCAGAGCTGAGGAGCGATGACATCCCTGTCACTGTCCCCACAGACCGGAGAGCCCTTTGGTATGCAAAATGGTGTGCATTTCCACTGGGGGCATTGTGGTCCCAGGCCCTGCAGGTAGAAGGTGCTAATCCTGATTTCTTGCCTCCAGTCTGCAGGGCCTCAGGGCTCTGCTCTCCACATGGACATAGGGAATGCTGTTGTCACCAAACTCTTGCTCCTTCCCCCAAGCCAGGCCCACAGGGCTGTGGAGCAGTGGTTTCACCTCTCCATACACAGGGCTGTGGAGGCAGACCTGGGCCCGGAGAGGTGTTGACAGCCACAGTGATAAATGCAGTCAGACAGGCTGGAACTGGGTGTAGTCAGAGCCACAACCATGGGGGCGAGCACCATGGGGACTGTGCTTGCCTCAGCTATGCTGTGGCTGTGCGGCTGCCTCTGCTTGCACCTCGCCAGCTGGTAGGAGCCCTGTGGTCATCACTGAGGAGAGGTCAGGGCCTTGAGTATGCCTCTTTTAAAGCCTCTTCTCTCCTGGCAGTGGAGCTCCCTGCCTGGGGCTGGCCTTGTGACCCTGGTGTGCAGCTCACAGTGTTCTCGGGGGCTGAGGGGCAGATGGGGCTGTACCCCAGCTGTGGGCATCAGAAGTGCCTCATTCCCAGCCCTAACCTTGCAGCTCATCCCAGGGGCATCCCCCCATTTGGCCTCTCCAGGACCTTGTTGTGCATGCCTGCCCTCCTCTCCTGGTGGAGCACACTGCAGTGTGTCTGTGGGCTCTGACTCTGGCAGGGTTGCCTTCCCTTCGCAGCCCTGCACTGCTGGGCACTCAGCCGACAGCTTCTGGGTCAGCTGTCTGTGTCCATCGGCAGCCTCTGCCTGGTTGCTTGCTGGTTGGGCTTGGTCTGGTTGTCTTTCTACAGTCAGAGCACCTGCCTGTGTCCAGCCTCGTGCCTGAAACAGTTTCCCTAACCTTCAGATAAGATAAAACACCAGTGAAAACATCGTAAAGACATAAATGCCTGGAGAGGCTTGTCTGGGGGAGAGGTGCTGTCTGAGTCCCACCAAGGACAGGAGACCTTGGGGCCTGGCTCACATATGTGGTGCTGTTGTGGATGGGTGTGCTGGGCTGGAAATGGCACAGACAAACTCCCAGAAACTGATTTGCTTCAGTTCCATGAACACCAGCCCCTCTGAGATCACATGCAGCTGCCAAAGTTGTGTTTCCCTTTCTCTCTTTCTTTTTCTCTAGCTGGTTTCCAGAATGGAGGAGCCACTGTCAATGGAGATGTCTTTCAGGTGAGAGCTCAGCCCCTTGCCCCAACCCAGTGATTCTGAAGGGGATTGGGTGGGTATGGGACCAGCACTCCAACCCTCTGCCCCCAGGATTGACTGGTTTGCCATCCAGCCACAAAACAGCTATAGTGTTCCTGCAAAGGTCTGGGTCTCATGGGGGAGTCCTGGCTGCTCCATTCTCACATCTCATTAAAGAGAAGATTGGTCCTACCTTCCGTGACCTGCCCCAAATCTGTATGTAGGTGGCTTGAGCCCTAAGAGCAGATGACAAATGCTCCATTTCCCACAGAAGCCCCCTCTCTGCAGCCTGGGTAGCTCCTGGAGGCCTCTGGAGCAGTCAGGTGCATCTCTTGGCAGAGGCCAGAAGCAGGACAGGGCTGCCATGGGACACTCACTTTGCTGACCTGTCAGCATTTCCCATTAAACTCATTTCCCCATGGCCAAGGATGTTTCATGGGTGCCATCCACATGGGTCTCAGGTCCTCTGGAAGCCTGAAGCCCAGCTCTGCTGGCTACGAGGAGAAGCTGTGCCAACATCTGACAAGCCCTTCACCCCACTCAGTGCCCAGCCATATGGCATGTGCATTGCCCGTGCCTAGTTTACAGGATGATAATCACATCAGAAACGAGACAGACTTAATTAGATTGGGGATCTTAGAGGAAAGCCGTAATCCCATTTCTGAGCTTGGTGTCTGACTGGACATGCAGAAGGTGTTAGCGAAGTGCTGAGCCAGCGTGGTGTTGGGCCTGGCAGGAGCCGTACAGGCAGCTCAGCTCAGAGCAGCGAGAGAGGCTCTTGCCTGCGGTCTGGATCCCCCACAGAGAGCGGTAGCCCTGCCTCTCGCCTGGGCTCTCCCTGCCTGTTGTGGCCAAGCCTGTAATGACGCTCAGTCCTGGGACTGCCTTGGCCCGAGTCAGGGCTGGTGAAGCCTGGTGCTGGTGGGGAGCATGTCACAAAGCTGGTGGCTGCCCAGTGGGTGTGAGAGACGCATTGGCAGCAAGCAGTAAGTCAAGGAGTGGAAGTCTTTCTGGGTGACAGGGCCTGGGGCTGGGAGCTGAGATAGCAGATTGAGCAGCACTTTGGGGACACTGTCACAGATGTCCCATGCTGTCACCCTCCCTACCTCCTATCCTGGTTTGTCTGAGTGCTGGGAGTGTGGAGTCCTGCCCTGCTGCCAGCCCTTTGAGGTGTCTGGGCTGTGGGAAGAGCTGGTGCTGGTGGTGAGATGCTTATGTCCTGCAGGAGTCCAATGGCCCCACGGATGCCTACGCAGCCATAGCCAAGGCTGACCGGCTGACCCAGGAACCTGAGAGCATCCGCAAGTGGAGGGAGGAGCAGAAGAAGCGTCTGGAGGAGCTGGGTGAGAGCCAAGGCCATGTGTTGCCACGCTTGTGTCACCTCGTGACATAGCAGTCAGGGCTCTTGGGGTCCCTCATGTGGGGGTGACCCTGCTGCATCCCTGAGAGGTGTCTCTTGTGCCTCACACTGTGTGGGTGCTCCTGCCAAATTTCTGCTGTCCTTGGGGCAGCAGTGCCTTTCAAACAGTACTCATGGGGACTGAGGACAGGCCTGGGGGGCCACAGCTGTCCTGCCTGCCAAGGGGCTGCCCAGCAAGTGCCAGTCTGGCTGATGGGGTCTGTCTTGCTCTGGCCTTAGATGCGGCATCAAAGGTGACTGAGCAGGAATGGCGTGAGAAAGCCAAGAAGGACCTGGAGGAGTGGAACCTGCGTCAGAATGAGCAGATGGAGAAGAACCGGGCAAACAACAGGTATGTTGGGGTCAGCACAGCCATGAGGGCTGCGATGGGAGCTGCTGTGCAGCCAGATCTGCCTTCCTGGGGTGTCTGGGGGTCTCCAGCCCTGCAGGGATGGAGCTTTGCCAGGCAAGGGGAGAGGCCCCAGGGCTTTGAGCAGCTCCAGTGACTGTGCAGAGCCGCCCTGTCTGGGACCACCCTGGGATCTCAGTGCCTTCTGTCCCCGGCCTGAGCCTCGCAGTGGGGCAGGGGTGGGGCACTGCCTGTGCAGCCCTGCCGTCAGCAGCAGGTTTTCCTGGTGCCGTGTACGCTGTGATGAGTGGGTCACACTCTGCGGAAGAATGCTAACCCCCTCTCTGTTTCTCTCTTTCTAACCCTCTGCCTGCCTGTCCGCTCTTGGCTCTCTCTTTGTCTGTGCCTCGGGGGCTAGGATCGCTGACAAAGCCTTTTACCAGCAGCCGGACGCCGATGTGATTGGCTATGTGTATGTGCCTCTTACAGACCGTATCCTGCCCCGCAGGGTCTGGGGGTTCCTGGCCCCAGCTCTGGCTGCCCAGCCAAGGGAAGGGGGGATGCTGGGAGGTACTGGGCCCTGATGAGGTTCTGGAGGAAGGATAATGTAGCTGAGTGTCTCCAAATAGTGAAGTCTTAGGAGGCAAGTGGAGCTCCTGAAAACGCCCCTGTAGGGGCTGGTTGAAGAGGCAAAGCTGTGGGGTCTTGTGCCTTTTGGAGGATAGCTCTGGGGGTGGAGAAGTCTTGGGAGTGGGCAGACACTCCACTGCCCCTGGATGAATGATGTCTTGGGTGAGTGCAGCCAACAGCAGCCTTGAGCAGCATGTGTCTCTGGATCCCAGAGGATGCTGAGCTCATCAGCTGGAACAAGGGAACAGGAAGGGGGACACGAGGGGTTCCCAGAGAGAGGGGAGGGTCTGCTTGGAAAGGGTTTTGCCAGTGACAACCCTCAATGTCTCTGCAGGGCCTCGGAGGAAGCATTCCTGAAGGAGTCCAAGGAGGAAAGCCCAGGCTCCGAGTGGGAGAAGGTGGCCCAGCTCTGTGATTTCAACCCCAAGAGCAGCAAGCAGAGCAAGGATGTCTCGCGGATGCGCTCGGTGCTCATCTCCCTCAAACAGACGCCCCTGTCCCGCTAGCTGCCGCCTGGCACAGCTGGGAGCGCGGTGGGGCAAGGCCAGGCCCACCGAGCCGGGCGGCTTCATGGGGTCAGGCGAGGAGGGGCCTCACCCTGCCTGCTCGCTGCTCCCTGGTGCGCGCCTTGGCTGTGCTCAAGTCACTGGTTGTAACTCTCCCCATGGTTTTCCTTTGCTTAAAAGGTGCATCGGTTTCCTTTTACACTTATTTATTACGGTGGCATTTCCCTGGGAAGCAACACTGGGTGGCAGAGCTGAGTTAGTGGGGGAGCCTCCGGCCAGGTTGTGCCCAGCGGCCTGGCTGACTGAGAGGGGGAACACCCCACCCCGTGTTCCCCACCTCACCCCTATGCTGGGAATAAACCTGCCTGCGGCTGTCCTGGCACTGGGCAGCTGCAGGCATGGCAGCCCCGTGTTTGGGCCTGGGTCCTAGCCCCAAGGCAGCGATCTTAGTGGGACCCTGGGCTGCCATATGCCTTTCCCGTGCAGAGCTGGTGCAGGGCTGGGAGGGTGGAAAACAGCCCTGTCTCAGCTCCGCACTGCCCAGCACTGCCAGGAGCATGGCTGCAGCGGGATGCTCTGGGCTAGCAGGGGCTGAGGAATGTCAGTGCAGGCACCCAGGCTGGGCCAGGACTACCAGCAGTTGCCCTAAGCCTAGCAGAACTCTCCACAGCCTGGCTGTGCACACCAAAAAGTGGGGCTGTGAGCAGCAGTTGCAGTGTGAGTGTCCCCCATCCATCCGGTGGGGCTGCTGGTGCCAGGCAGCACAGTGCTGCAGGGCACTGGGAAGGGGACACAGGATGAGTGTGCAGGATGTTTTCTCTGCTTTCACCCGGACCATCAGCAGTTGGGAATGGGGGGTGCCAGCCTTCAGGGGCCCTTGGCTCTGCTCTGCTCCTTCCCCTCCTACTAGGATGGGAGATGGAGGCTGTGTGGTTGCAGGGGTAGGAAGGTCCAGCTGCTGTGGGGCAAGTTGAGCCCCAAGCTCCCTAACCTAGGGGCCCAGAGCAGGATTGGGCAGTGTTCTAGTGCTGGGGCTTGTGCTGTCCTTGGAGAACAACCCACACATCTGTCTGCAGCTGCTCTGCGGCTTTTCTCAGTCCTCTGCTGGACACGCCTAAGGCAGCATGGCAAGATGCCTCAGCCCTGCTCCCCACCCCACAAAGCACATGCTTTCCAGCCCAAACACTGGCTTTCTCCTCTGCTTGGCAGGGCCAGCACCAGCCCTGGAAACCTACAAAACTCTTGGCTAGCAGGAGAGGGGCAGGCCTCTGCACACCCTGCTGTGGGCAACCTTGAGCCTGTGCCCAGGGTCTGGCCCTTCGGGGCTTGGGAAGGGCTTGCAGTAGCAGGCTGGGAGGACATGGAGCAGAGCCCACAAAACGTTTGCCTAAGCCTCACTGCAGAGCCCTGTTCAGTCAAAAAGCAAGTATGCAGCTCTCCTGCCCTGCAGCTACAGCTCCACAGGTCAGGAGGGTCACCTGCCCTGCTGCTGCAGCCCTTGTGGGGTGACCAGACATCCTGGCTCTGGGGCACTGGCTCAGCAGCGGGCTGGGAAGGGAAATGGGTGTGTAGGGAGTCACTGGGTGGTGTGTGCTGGGATTGTGCCCCCGTGTCCACAGGGGTGATTGCTCCTACTCTGTCCCCCTGCGCTCCAGCATGCGTAGGCAGCTCTGCTGCGGTGCAGGATGGACACGGATGCAGGATGATACCTCGGGACTCACCTGCCTGCCTCTGCCTTTTGCTGCAGCGCAGCAGGAAGCACCTCTGGCTGCTTCCCAGGGGTGGTGAGCCCCCCTGCACTCTGTCCTTCCAGCCCCTGCAGGCAGCTGGGCCCCTGGGCCCCCGCAGCTGCTGTGTCCCCCCATGTCAGGCAGGGGCAACCAGCTCCCGGGGAGCCGTGCCCACAGCTGTTCTACATCCCCTCGGCTTTGGTATCTGTGACTGTTCAAATTACCTGTTACAATAAACCGACATCACCAATCCTACAGGGCACTGTTGTCTTTATGCTTCAGCAGCACATGTCTGTGTTTAAGAGAGCCCCCGGCCACAAAGCCTCCTGCAGAAAGGACGGGGCTGGAGGGTAACCACATCCTACAGGAAAAAGTAGGAGCGAGGGGAAGGGCTTCTGCGAGCTCCTGCTTGTCCAGACAGGCTGAGCTGCTCCCCAGCCCGCTGCGCCCATCTCCAGGCTGCCAGGGATGGTGCTCGCAGGTCTGCCCAACAGCTGCCTCTCACATCCCTGCCCCAAGCTGGCTGGGCTGGAAGTGCCAGCGAGGCAGCCAAAAGCAGCTGCTTCTGGGAAAGACGTGCTGAGCAGGCAGCCTGCCAGGGAAGGCAGGCAGAGCCTCAGGCTCCCCGGTGCTGAAGCTCTGCTCAGCGCCAACGATGGCTCATCCCCTACCCTCACATCTCAGAAGTCAGCTCTGGTGGGCAAGAGCCTTCTCTCTCTCCTTGCCAAGGCCCACCAGCACAATTCACTGGACAGGACAAACCAAGCACTTGTTTGCAGGCAGAAGTGCATTTACACCTCACACCCTGTCCTTCTGAGAAGTTTCTAAGGGCAAAGTGGGCTCACCAAGCCACAAAGCCACCACATACCAGGGAGGGCCAGGGCGCAGGCACCAACATGCAGACACAGAGAGAGAAGCCTGGGAACACCCCAGGCTGCTCAGCGCAAGGCAGTGTTGCAGCAGGGTTAGTGGTGCCTGTGCCCCTTTCCCCTGCAGAGATATGCTCTGCCTACAGGCAGGTACAAGTTGCTGCAGCCGTACAGCAAACAGAGCCTATGGCTCCATCTCCTCCCCGCTCTGTTGCCCTGACATGGGAGGGCAAAGCCTTGTTGCTCATAAAGCACCCCTGGTATGATCCAAACAATCCAATGCCAACAGTGGGATTTGCAGCTGCCCATGACAGCATCGTGACACAGGCAGTGTAGCTCCCTCTGGGATGAGGGCACTTGCTCAGCAGCCAGTTCCAGCTCCCACGAAACAGCGAGCTGTGCAGGAACTGACTCCCCAGCAAAAGAAGCTGCAGCAGCAGCATGTCCCAGAAAATGTGGCTAGGCCCTGTTTTGGAAATGCGAGTTCCCAACTTGTTTTCACAGGGAGCTACATCTCTTCCATCCTGCTTGCATCACCAAAGCTTTGAGACAGCCGTGCCTGCTCCCTTTCCTTACTATGCTGTTTACTCTTCTGGCTTCTCAATGCTCTGCAATCCAGTATCAGTCAGAACCTTGCTGCAATTCCCTTTATTACTCACTGGTTGCAACTGGACAGATTACACATTCTCCCCACACAACTCACCCACTGCTTATGAACTCTGTCCTGCCAAGATCAAGCCATAAACAGAGCTGTTCCTTCCAACCCGTGCAACTCATTTCTCAAATGTTGGTGCACCACCTGACTAAAGCCACACCTCAGTGAAGACCACAACCCACAACTTTAACAGATTGTGACAGCACCAAGCAGGGACAAGAGGTCTGTCAGGGGCGGAGAGTCTTAGTGAGACGCAACCTCCAGTGTTGCAGGAGGATAAGCATTCAGGAAATCAAACAATGGCAGAGCCCATGTTTCAGGTTAATCACAGAGGTGTATTTGCCGCATTTCCAGTGCTCTGGAACACAGAGGCTCTCTGACAATGGCTCCACAGGCATCACAAATGTCTCTCAGACAAGCCAGAATCCACCCAGCACACCTGCAGCCACAGCTTCCCTCTCTCCTGATCTCACTTTCTAGATTTCATGGCTGTGACCGCCATGCCTCCCAGGAGGGCCACGATGGTGAAGCCCTGGGCCATGATACGTGCCCGCATCATCAGCTGCGAGTGACGGGTGTTGCCCCTCTGGAAGCTGATCAGTCCGTAGGTCAGGACGCCGACAGTGCAGAGGCAGCCTGTAGAGAGACAGGAGGACGGCTCAGGGGAGCAGGGCAGGGGCTGCGAGGACCAGCTCATGCCTCCTTCCCGCCTCCCCACACCCCCGAGCGCTGCTGGGTTGTTAGACCGCATCCCCAAAGAGGAGACGTGCCTCCCCCGGGGGCAGGCCCTTGAGCGTGGGCTCCAGAGGGGCTGACCCACGGCTCACGGCCCTCCCCCGCCACCGGCCCCCGCCACCCTGG